GCATACCACTGTATAAAATCCGCACAGTAAAATCTCTCCCCCGAAATCGAAGGTACTTGCGACCCATTAGAATATTCATATTCAGAACCACACGCTCTCTCTCCCCCCTTTAGATTCTCACTCACTCTCCCCTCTCCTTTCTCTGCTGGTGCCAGCGCTTTGTGCGTGGCCATAGCCATGCCTTTTGCTCATTGTTTCCAATAGGAATTGCGGAGCCTCCTCGTTCAGTTCTTGATTTGGGTGCAATCTCTATGGCCAACACAGAGGAGCAGCTCGCCCTTTTTGGAAAAACCCTAAAAGAAGGAGAAAGGGTTCTCGCTCCCACAAGAAGACCAGATGGAACTCTTCGAAAACCTATAAGAATTAGGGCTGGCTATGTTCCCCAAGAAGAAGTTGCCATTTACCAGTCGAAAGGAGCTCTGGTTTGTTTTCTCATGCTTTCTCTTGTTCTTGTACTTCTTATACTAGGTTTTTGCTTGGGTTTTTCTGTGTTTGTTTGTACGATTTTTATTTTTATTTTCCTAGGGTTTGTTTTGGTTCTGGGGCTTACTTTCATGGTTCTGGTGCAGTGGAAAAAGGGTTTGCCGGAGGTACCACCAGGTTATGATCCAGAACTGAATGCCATGCCCAAGACCAAGTCGGCCAAGAGGAACGAGCGTAAGAAGGAGAAGAGGTTGCAGGTGCTTTTCTCAATTCCATGCATTGTTCTTTCCAGTTTTAGTGTTTATTTATTTATTCTTTTGAATTTCAAGTGGGTTAATGCCTGGTTGAAGTTATCTGTTGTCTATTTTTGCTTTTTAGCGATGTTTGTAGTTCAACTTAGAAATACAGGATTTATTCAAAAAAAAAAAACTTAGAAATACAGGATTTTTAGCTTTTCATCTGTAATGAATGTTATTTTTTATTAGTAGCAGTAACAAATATCATTGAGGAACAACACTTACATAGAACTACAACTAAAATATTTACTGTAGCTCTAAATCTTGCAATTTCCCGTATGATTCTAGCTACTTGCCAACTTAAACTGGCATAGCATCCTCTTCAAGAAGCTGTTCTTGAAGCCAAAATAAATTGACAAAGATATGCTAGAATAAACCAAATAAGTAAACATCGAACCAGTTGGGAGGAAACTGTCCTTGGAATAAAGCAAAAAAGATAAATATCTCTAACTAGTTGGGAGGAAACTGTCTTTTGATTATTTTCAATAAGCCTTTAGAGAGAAATAGGAATGGATAATATGCCTCAGCATTATATCAAGTCCCCTTTATATGGGAAAGGACTCTATTCCAATTTTTCTATGGGCTTCTCAAAAATGGCCTTCCCAGGAAAACTAGTCACATGCTTATCTCTTAACCATTATACAACTCTCACTTTAGTAAATAAATATCTACTATGCTATTACATTTTGGAAAATATTCACTAAATAAAAAATTAGCATATAACAAACTCCTATTCTCTAGATATGAAGGTCTTTGACGCCTCGGACTTATGTGTAGATAGGTAATGCTTACCAAATCTAGAGAAATCATCTATGAAAGCAATATTATAAGACATACCCCATGTGTTATAATGCTTATGTCATAATGCAGTTGTGAAACCACAATCTCATAGAATGGCTTCCTAGTCATTCTCCCTAACAATACACTAGTTTGAAACTCAAGTTTTTTAAGGTTGGGAATGAGACATTCCTTAATTAATATATTCAATTTCTATATACCAAATGTCTTGCCCTAAGGTGCCAAGTATATGCATCAACAACCATTGGTCAATCTGAATAACCAAAAGACGAAACAACTTGAAGGATTTACAGCTAAGGACAATGTTTCAAAAAATGCCGGGCAGCCGTTAGAACCTAGGCATCCTAAAACCATAAGAAAAATAAGAAAACAAGAGTAGATAAGAAAAAGAGTAGACAATAGATGGTCCATAATCCATATTTCCATACAATGATACAAACCACAAACCATACAAACATACACAAGAGTAGATAGTAGAAACTATAAAATAAAAAAAAGAAAATATACAGTTTAAGACTCAACACCAAGAGTCAAGCATCTTCTGTCATCATCATCAGAAGGAGCAGGGTAAGCTTCATCATATTCATCGGATTCGAGGCCATCATCATTAGAGTCATCTCCGTCTTCAACATAATGCTCGTCTTCCTCTTTTTCTTCTGAATCTGCCGCTTCCTCCTCTTCTTCTACCCCTTCTTACTCTATGCAGATGAGGCCCTAGGAGTCTTGGCTGCTCTACCTGGTGCCTCTTCACCCTTTTCTGGCTTTTTGTATTTCACTGAACTCAAATATTGTTTAATCTCCTCCTTGGTAGCCTTGGGAACATTTTTACATGAGGCAACATCCCCCTTAATGTTGGAAATGTATTTCTTGAAACGGTAAACACCCCAATTAGTATCCTTTTCACAATAATTACGCCTTATACAATTTTTGTCATTCAGATTCGGGTTTTGTCCATACTTGCAACCTGGATAAACATTTCTAAAAGTACCTAGAGAAGATATTTCCATATCAAAAAATCTCATTTTCTTATTTTTCTGATTTTACTAAATTCAAATATTGTCTAATCTCAACCCAAATAGCTTCAAGAACGATTTTACAAGAAGCAACATTCCTTATCATACTGTCTAGGTGTTTCTTGAATCGATTAATACCCCCATTAGTATTTTTTTTACAAAAACTACACCTCCTACAATTTTTATCGTTTGGTTTCAGGATATAACCATACTTCCAACCCGGATCACCTCTTCTAGCAGAACCAAAGATAAAACTATCCAAGTGACAAGGATTTTGTTTCTGTTTTTGTTTTATTGAACTCATATATTACTTAATCTCCTCTTTGATAGCTTTAGGAATATTTTTACAAAGAGGCAACATTCCCTCTAATACCGACAAGATGTATCTTAAACTAGTTTATGCCCCATTTTGTATCATTTTCACAATAATTGCATCTTATGCAATTTTTATCCAAAGGATTCGGGTTAAAGTCATATTTCCCACCCGGATCACCACTTTGATTAGATCTTGAAGAAGACATCTCAAATAATACAAGCAATCTAAAAAATAAAATTTTGCACTTACTTTGATTGCTCGATATCCAAAATTTCACCTCTAAGATGTTTTCTGGTGCAAAAATCTTTTAAAACACCCACTAATAGACCTAAACGAATTCCAAAACTAAATCTAATCTCAATGGGTGATGTTTGGATCGATTTCTTGTAACTTTGAGAAACCCTTCCATCCTATGAAAATCACAAAAATCTAGGTTTTTTTTTTTTAGGCTTATCTCTCTCTAAATGAGCTCTAATGGGATTTAGGTTTCAAATAAAACCTAGAACCCACCTTTAAACCTTTTTTTCCCAAAAAAACCAAAAATGCCATGCCCCTAAAAAGGGGGCATTTCCACCCTTGGGTGGGGCGCAGGCCCTGAGTGGCCATCCAAGGCTAGACGTTGGGTGCCCACGTAGGGGTAAGCTGCCTAGTTTGGCTGCCTAGGCCTGGGCGCCTACCTAGGGTTAGACCGACTATTTTGGTTGCTTAGGCCTGGGCGAGGAGTCCAGGCTCCCTGGGCAGCCTAGGCGTTGGGTGGTTTGGCTTTTGGAACAATAGTTAAGGAACATGAAAATGAAGTATATATGACAATGGTTCTTGATCACAAGTCTGGTATGCACGAAAAAAATCCCTTTACAGGCCTAAAAAAACAAAACTTTACACAAGGATCAAGAGGAACACTAGAAAGGAGTCTAGGATGACTCGTTTAGCGGCTAATTAGGGATTCCTAGGGAAGAGAAGCCTTGGGCCCCTTCCTTGGCGAGAGAATCTGCAATGGAGTTTACCTCTCTCGAAGTATGCCTCCAAAAAGTATGCAGATCCGAACTCCTGTAGAAAATTTCATAAAAAATGGGATCGAGCCTCCAAGGACATAGGGGCTGCTTTGGAGGCCCACGAGATGACGTTGGCGGAATCTTCTTCAATGATCAAAGAGTTTCCCCACTCCTTGTTAATATCTGAGACCAACTAGAAGAGCCATCGCCTCGGCTTGGTTAGGGTCAGAGCTGCCAATGGAGTGCATGAAGGAGAAGAGGGTATGACCTTCACAATCGTGAAAGATCCCTCCTACTCCCAAAGGACTAGGGTTGCCCAGGGAGCAGCCATCGAAGTTAAGCTTTATTAGGCCGAAGGGCAGGGGGTGACCAAGAGGAAGCCCGAGGAATGTGAGAAGGCCTAAGGTGAATCAAGGGCTTCTAGTTTTGGTGGAAATCTGCTAGGGAAATATGCTTGAAGGGTTTTGAGTTTGTTGCCCAAAAAATGACCAGTGATCGCAGCTTTTCAGCGAAGTGTCGATGTTACAGAACTCTCCCCTAAAGATTCTTTGGTTCCTTTCCAGCCACAGGGTCCAAAGGGTGGTAGCAATCGTGGCTCTCCATAAAAGAAGGCCTGATTTGGCCCACGGGGTTGAGAGGTATGATGAGAGGAGATGGGGTATGGACTGGGGAGTGGACTAGTACCATAAAAAAAGGTTAAGGATTTAGGCCCAAAGGTGGCCAGAGATCTCGCAATGCAAAAGTAGATGGGCATTGGTTTCGGCTTCATTTCGACACATGATACATCAATTGGGAAGTTGCATGCCCCTTCTTTGAAGGTGGTCCCCTTTCATGGGTTGCCACCCAATTAAAGAACTGAATTTTTGGAGGAACCATAGTCGCCCAAGCTTTTTCTTTCGGTTGGGCAATGGGGGACTGGATTTGGGGGGACGGGAGGAGGGCGTTGTAAAAGGAAGATACTGAGAATACACCTGAGGGAAAGGGTGTCCAAACTATCTTGTCGGGGCCAGAAAGAGGAAGAAAGAAGGTATGGAGAAGGGCCTGCAGTTCTTTAAAGGCTAGCATCTCCGAATCATGAGGGGGCCTTCTGAAAATTGGGGTCCAAGCCCTTTCAGGGGGTGAGGTTTCAAAGTTCTCAGCAATAGCGGATAGGGGATTGCGAGCCAATTGGAAAAGGGTAGGGAAAGACTCCCTAAGGGATGAGCATGGACAAACCAAGTATCCATTCAAAATGCAATTCTGATACCCACTCTTGGTCGAAACAACAAGGCAATGAAGGCAAAGAATAGAGGCCCTTTCAAATACTTGACGCATTGTCCGCTTTTGTACTTGGGCACATATATAAGCCCCCAATCTAGTGTAAGCCCTCTCCGCTGTAGTGTGAGTCTATGTAGTGGAAGTCTTTGAAGGTCCTCCTGTCAGGGACCACCATGTTGTTGAGGACATGCATGAAGGCCTCACAGTATCGACAAATTTATTTTCATTTAATGCTAAGTTAATTTCTATCAAAAAAAATACTTGAAGCATTGTGGGGGACCCAACTACTCGGGAGCCAAGCATTGGGGGAACACCGATATTTTAGGCGAACTACCTCTTGCGAAAGATGGTCCCTTTGGGATGCAAATCTCCATCACCATTACCATTGAGACCATTTACCAATAAGGGAAACATTGGTCGTTTTGATACTACAGATGGTGAGACCTTCTTTGGATTTTGGGGTACAAGTTGTTTTCTAAGCAATGTTTCAAAAAGCGGACCGCCCAGGGCCTGAGCTTTACAAAGGAGCAAAAATGTGGTTCCTTGAGTGTATTTTTTGGCCATTTTTTTAATACTAAAGGGCCA